TGGATCTGAATCAAAAACTATTCTGACAAGATTTGTGCTGTTATTAGCTGCTTTATAGTTTCAGTCCACCCATTCTCTTGTTTTTATTCATGAGATCAGTAATACGTTAACTTTACCACGGCGCTTCTCCGATAGATTCTTAAATATCGATCCACTTTGTTATCAGTCACGACAGAGACACAATTATTGCTATTGGCAGAAAGGGAGAAAAATCCATATGGCGCTTTCCTCATTGTCAAGGTCATGAATAGCGTCGAGAAATTTCCCCGCTGCTCTTTGCCAGTGGTATGTTGGTCTGCAGTGCAAAAATGTATGAATTATTAAGTTATTGAAGCCTGGAATTTTGATGAGGTGACTTTTTTTATCAATACATTTATTAACATTTATAGACATTGGTCATCTGCCCCTTATTAAATCAACAATTCTTGAAAAAAGGCTATGGCTTTGTCCCATTGGCAAATCTTGTCAGAATGGGCTCAAATTAAGATAAAAACCACTCCAATCAAGCAATTGTTTCCTCATATTTGATCAGTGGAGTTACAAAGTGTTTCATTTTTTTTCTGGTTTGAAAGTTAGGTACAGGCTTTAAGTTAATTTTTATCTTGCATTGTCTCTGGTTTTGGTTCTTATACATCAATAATGCCATTGGAACAAGCATAAACAAGTCATTTACAAGACAAAAATATTCAAATACTCTAAAATCACATGTTGTATATTAGTAATTCATGATCAAATATTGATACTTTGCTCAGATATAACACAACTTTAAGCGTTGTTTGTCATTTCCGCAGTGCATGCTCCACTGTCTCTGTCCCTGTCGTCTGAACTCTGCAGTGCTTCTAACAGTGTCTTCATTCATTCGCTCTCTCTTGTCTGTGGAGAGAGACTTTTTCTCCCTCCAGTCCAATGCAGCTGCAGCCCACACACCTGCAGCCTTGGGAGGACAAAGGACTGCATCGGAGTGGAGAAAATGCAGCAAAAATCTAAAATAAAGTCTATAATGAGGAGTCAGCAAAACATTTTATGCAACCAGGTCTAAGGACAGTGACGGTTTGGGAGATTTATGGACTTTTATAAACATTTATTAACGTGTATTGACTTTTATGAACATTGGTCGTCTGCTACTGATAGAACAATGCCTCTTTTGTATTTGTTACTATTTCCTGTTTTCGAACTGTTTCTCTGATCTGTTGTGGAGGAATCGGCAACTTTGTAAAGTCCTCCTAGACGACTGCTAAGATTCAGGGATATACAAACATGTATAAGAAGTTTTATTTTTTATGATTGCTACAACCCAATAACAGGGGAACAAATATAACATAGTGGATTATGTCACAATTTTTCTACTAATACTTGGCCTGGTCTCCTGCTGGGTCTCTGAGGAGCACAGGGACTGGCCTCCTGCTGGGTCTCTGAGGAGCACAGGGACTGGCCTCCTGCTGGGTCTCTGAGGAGCACAGGGACTGGCCTCCTGCTGGGTCTCTGAGGAGCACAGGGACTGGCCTCCTGCTGGGACTCTGAGGAGCACAGGGACTGGCCTCCTGCTGGGTCTCTGAGGAGCACAGGGACTGGCCTCCTGCTGGGTCTCTGAGGAGCACAGGGACTGGCCTCCTGCTGGGTCTCTGAGGAGCACAGGGACTGGCCTCCTGCTGGGACTCTGAGGAGCACAGGGACTGGCCTCATGCTGGGACTCTCAGGAGCACAGGGACTGGCCTCCTGCTGGGACTCTGTGGAGCACAGGGACTGGTCTCCTGCTGGGACTCTGAGGAGCACAGGGACTGGCTTCTTGTTTTTCTCGCCAATATTCCACCTGTGAATCGATTTTTGTCTCCTACTTTCTGTCTACAAATTCAGAGACTGTGAATAAAAACTATAAAAGCATTAAAAAGCATTGATTTCTCTGCACCAGCCTCAATATTACAGTAGCTTTGCCCTAGCTTGTAGCCCTCTTTAGCCCTCTTGGTGTAACATCAGGATTTCATACGAGTTCCCAGCGCAGCTTTAAAGAGAAGCAGGTGGAGTGGATCAATGGTACACGCCCCAACAGTCTATAATCGATCTCTATCCTCCTCATCCACATTCTTCCACACCAAAGACACGTCAGTCAGCCGAGACCTCCATCTCCATCGTGAGAGCCGAGAGAGAGAGAGGGAGAGAGGGGGGAGGGCGAGTGAGGGGGAGATTAAGCGGCCCTGGAGGTGATATATTGATGTGAACGATAGCGGATATTGTTACTGTAGTACACAAAGTTTGCATTTACTTTAACTCCTTGACTGCCAGCCATTTTTGAGGATTTCTCTGATTCCAACAGAATATTAGGTGCTATTACTATGTGAAATATTTAAACCAGATTCTGAAAGGCTGGACTGCCTACGTTCATCAGCAAAAATAAGTTTGTTTCTAGCTATTTTTGTTTTCCTGTAATCTCCAGTCAAATAGAGGGAAGTTTTTACAGAAATCACCTCAGACAAATACGTCAATGGCAGTCAATGAGTATATAAATAAAAAAATGAATGATAAAATCTGAAATATTAAGTATGTCATCTGATTTGTTAATTTTGAAATCCTTTGGCGAGCTACCTGGAAGGGGGTTGGCGAGCTACTGGTGTCTCTCGAGCTACAGGTTAGAGACCTCTGTGCTAGATATATTAACAGATTTTTATTTTCTTAGTATAGAGATATTGTTCACGTATCTTGTTCTGTAAATTGTAGTAAATTGTAGTGTAAAACACTGTAGGACGATAAAAAAAATCTCTTAATCTTAATCATAATTTATGGGAAAGAAGCAGTTTTGTAAATAAAATATCCAAATGTAATCTAAGTTCAGATAGTGATTATACTCTGTGGACTGGTCCCCCTCCTCGCCTGGGACCCGCCTCAGTCCTTGTTCTACAGCCTGAGAGAAACGCATCAGGGTTTGGGACTGGACCAGATTATAATCCAAACAGCCGTGCGACCCATAAAACATCTCATAATCCTAAATATAGAAACCACCTTTTAACTTCTTCCTCTTTCGACATTTAACAACGAATCGTAAAACTTGAACAGGCTCCAGAGGGAACACATCCAGTCGTTGTCTTATTGTTTATTACTTTAATATTATCACTCAATCAATTTCAGGATTTATCTATTGACTTTAATTTAACCATGAAAGTAACGCTGACCTTTTAGAATCTGTTTTTCAGGGAGTCCAGGCCTCAGAGGGAGGGCAGCAGTTGATGATTTGAGTGGTAGAGGCAAACACATGAAATAGACATTTAAAACTCAGACACTATTTAAAGCTAGTATTTGTTGTCCTTGTGCTGCTTTTATAGAATCTTGTGGTTGAAATCAGATTCGTAGTTCTCTCCCTCTCACTAAAATCATCCATGTGCAGCCGCCTTGACAATGTTTTCCTCCAGAGTGCTTTCTTAAAACAACGGGGAAAAGCTAATATTTGTCTTTGTCAAATGCAGATATGATCTCAATAGAAACCATAGTGGAACCAGCACACACACATACCAGCAGCAGCCAAGCCATATTTCTGTCTAGTTTCTGTGGATAAAATACTATAATCTAATATATAGTTTAAAACTGAAAGAGAATGGCCTGAGACTCGCACGTTCGTATTTTGATTTCACTCTGAAAATAAAATCTATAATTATCCGTAGATTTTGTGATTTTGCTCTGTGGTCTCACTGTATTCAATTCAAATGCATTTATATAAACATTTTAAAACAACTTGGGTTTGTCATCGTAAAGTAAACTAAATTATTATTACTAAACGATTATGCTTTTGCTTTGAAAAATATAAAATATAAAAAAAAAAATTGTTACATCTTTAATACATGCCAACTGGTTAATTGTAATGAAATATAGCTAAACTAAATGCTATCTGCTGAAAGTAAATGGTGTGTTGCTATGGTAACTAGCACTTTCTCCAAGCTCCAAGATAATATTCATTATTTATTTATTTTATGTATTTATTTCAAGCAAATTGTGTTCCAAAACCAGAAAAGAGAGAAAAAAATATATATATACAAAAAGACATAGAAACAGAAAAAGTTAAGACCAAAACGTATGCATGCAGAGTAATACACTTTCACCACAACGAAAAGCTGTCAAATTGACTGCCCTGGGAGTGTTAATAACCATCACCCCTGCTGTATCACATTACAGACTTTATTTTTCTCAATGAACTACGCTCTCCCGCTGGTGCAGTAGCTTCCCCTGGTGGTTGTCTGGAGCATTGCAGGCGTGTCTTGCGTCTGCGGAGAGAATGATTGACCAGGATGTGAAGCTTTTGTCCCATTGTTCTGAATGAACTTTGCGCCGTTGCAACATTCCTTAAAGTCGATGTCATGAATGAGGAAGAAATGTGGCTGTGATCAGGGGTTTTCAAACTGCGGTACTGACCCCAGGACATTGCATGCACATAGGGCATGTTCTGAGGCAGCTTTTGTTGTGATTGGATTACCGAAAGTACATTTTCTCAAATGTTTTGAGAAAAGATCGTCCCGGACACAAAATAACATACCAGATTTCTTCAAGATGGTTTAGATTTGCACTATGAAGAAAAAGTGCTTTTAAAACATGTCTCAAATGTTAATCGAATAAAATATGAATCAGAATTTGCTAAATTTCCTTGTATTTTGAAAAAATCTTTTTTCAGTTTCTCTTTAGTTCAAGTTTGGATTGTTTCTTCTCCTTAAGAACACTTCATAAATACCCAGCCAATCAACATACACTAAACAAAACAATAGTAAAATGCTTGAATCAAGTGTTTTTTCTCATTCCAAGACAGATATTTCTTGTATGTTTTTTTGCTCATTGTCCCATTGGTAGATCTTGTTTTAAGGCAGTCAAAATTAAGACACTTTTTGACTTATTTTCACTCTCACTTTTTGCAGTGTCGTCCTATACTTCTATATATTCCTCTCGATGTTCCCATGCTTTCTGCTTATCCACACGTCTGGGCCTTAATCTAATCTCCTGCGTTTTTATTGTGTTTTTTCCCGCAGTTACAATGGTTCTGTTTTTGGTGGCGGCCACAACAACATCCAATAACTCCAGCAACGGGAACAATACACAAGGTAAGAGTCCGAGACATGTGAGCCGCAGACACTGGCTCACTTCTTCTAGCGCGTTCTCCCGTGGTGTTGTCATGTTTAAGAATCGAAAACTGAATCTTAACTTGTGTGGGGTTAACAGGTCCATCATGGGAAAAAATGTCCTCTTTGGTGTGTGAAAATGTATTCCTGATTATGTACAGTATATTTGGTCATTTTTGGTAGCAGTTTGTAGGGTGAAAGTGTAATGGTTAAAAAGATCAGATACATTTGTTTTTTTAAGCTGAGGATGCATTGATATTAAGGTTTGAATCAGTCCTGGATCTACAGCCTCAGTCCTGGATCTACAGCCTCAGTCCTGGATCTACAGCCTCAGTCCTGGGTCTACAGCCTCAGTCCTGGATTCTACAGCCTCAGTCCTGGATCTACAGCCTCAGTCCTGGATCTACAGCCTCAGTCCTGGGTCTACAGCCTCAGTCCTGGGTCTACAGCCTCAGTCCTGGGTCTACAGCCTCAGTCCTGGGTCTACAGCCTCAGTCCTGGATCTACAGCCTCAGTCCTGGGTCTACAGCCTCAGTCCTGGATCTACAGCCTCAGTCCTGGGTCTACAGCCTCAGTCCTGGATTTACAGCCTCAGTCCTGGATGGATAAAACTTTATTGATCTCACTATGGAAACATTTACAATGCGTGTACTGTAATTATTTATGATCTTGAGTTATCCTAACTCATGATGTATCAAAGCATTAAAAACTTCTTTACATTGTGGCTGTGCACAAAAGTTTGCAAAAGTTTGCAAAAAATCCATCTTAGTTTTTGCAAAGTGGGAAGAAGCAACTTGTAATTACTTTGAAGGGTTAGGGTTTGGGTTTACAAGATGTGTCTAATGCTAAACTGGTTTCTCCTTTAATAATATACAATATACACAGCAAAAAGTGATGAAAAATAAGTCAGATTTGGCAAAAATTTATCTTCATTTGAGCACGTTTTGACTGCTTTAAAACAAGATTTGCCAATGGGACAATGAGCAAAATTATCTTGTTTTAAAAAGATACAAGAAATATCTCAGTTGGAATGAGAAAAGAAAACAACAGTTCAGAATCTACTCAAATTAAGATAAAAACCACTTGATTCAAGCATTTATGACCTCACATGTATCATTTTTTACAGTGTAGAATTTTTATTACCTCATAACCCCAATGACCCCTGTGTAAAGTCCATATTGTGGTTGCCAAAAACCCAAAGATGATGGTTATCTGCCCAGAACACTGTATGTGTAACGTTAGCATAGCCTCGTATGCACAGCTTTCGTTCAGGATAAATGATAGGATTTCCTTTTCCAGCTCCTGAAATAGAGCCGATATGAGACTTTTGAGGATAACGAATGGCCATGTTTGACAATGAGCTCACGTTTACCTCATTCTTGTATTTCAGTGAAAGTGTTTTGGCTCCAATTGGTGTAAATTAGATGGAGAATTTATACAGCAACAACAAGCTTTTATTGGAATATTTTTGAATTAAAAAGGTTACTCGCATCTATGGAGTACCTTTTGACATTTACAGAGCTAATCTCTCACACTGATTTCAGATAAGATAAGATAGACTTTGGTAATCTCACAATGGAGACATTATATTTAATTTTATTTCTCATGGACAGAGCTGTTTTCTGCCTCAATAAAAAAAGTTTAATAAAGCACTTTCTCACTTCATCTTTTGTTATCCCTTAATCGTTTGTTCTCTCCCTGGTCTCTCTCTAGTCTCTCTGGACTACCTCTGGTCTCTCTCTCTGGTCTCTCTCTCTCTAGACTACCTCTGGTCTCTCTCTCTGGTCTCTCTCTCTCTAGACTACCTCTGGTCTCTCTCTCTCTCTCTCTAGACTACCTGTGGTCTCTCTCTCTGGTCTCTCTCTCTCTAGACTACCACTGATCTCTCTCTCGCTAGACTACCTCTGGTCTCTCTCTCTCTCTAGACTACCTCTGGTCTCTCTCTCTGGTCTCTCTCTCTCTCTAGACTACCTCTGGTCTCTCTCTCTGGTCTCTCTCTCTCTAGACTACCTCTGGTCTCTCTCTCTGGTCTCTCTCTCTCTCTAGACTACCTCTGGTCTCTCTCTCTGGTCTCTCTCTCTCTACACTACCTCTGGTCTCTCTCTCTGGTCTCTCTCTCTCTAGACTACCTCTGGTCTCTCTCTCTGGTCTCTCTCTCTCTACACTACCTCTGGTCTCTCTCTCTGGTCTCTCTCTCTCTACACTACCTCTGGTCTCTCTCTCTGGTCTCTCTCTCTCTACACTACCTCTGGTCTCTCTCTCTGGCCTCTCTCTCTCTACACTACCTCTGGTCTCTCTCTTGTCCATCTTCTTTATCAGTACATACAGTATCTTGTCTTTGCCTGGACCCTGGTCCTTGGTCCCTGGTCCCCGGTCCCTTGTCCTTGGCCCTTGCTCTCTTCTTGCATCTGCTCTTCCGGCTCGGCCCTCGCCCTCTGACCGGTGGGTTTGTGGTTCTCTTCCTCAGGACAGGCCGCCTCCCCCAGCCCCCACATCCTCCCCACGGTCCTGGTGTTGTCACTGCTGCTGCTCATCATCGCTCTGCTCGCCTGGTACTGCCTCAGGTGAACACAAAAACACACAAACACAATCATCACAACTTTCAGGGTTTAAGCAGAAAACTCATATCCATACAATAAAATACATCCATGGTTTACAAAATATAAAAATACGGGGTACCCTAAAAGAACAGACTCATTTCAGGGTTGCTCCCAAACCGGTCTGACTACTCTGGTCCCACCGTCCCAGTCTGAATGTGAGCTACTTTGTCCGATTGTGCAGAGGGTATACATACATACAGTTTAAGCAATTGCAATTATCAAATGTATTGACTATTTATTCTAGTTATCAGAGTTTAACTTGTGTTTTGTAAACTTTATCATGAAGTTTTTCAAGATAATAGATTAATGTAGTGATGCAGTGATACAATACTGACAGAAAAGATCAGAATTGGTTTCCTCTATTCGTTCTTGTAAAAAGTTTGAACAACTCCCATACACTGCAAAAAAATGTGAAATAAGCGGTTAAAAAAATGCTTCAATCGAGTGTATTTGTATTTTGTCTTAAAACAAGCAAATCATTTCTCATTCCAAGGAAGACATTTCTTGAACTTTTTAAAACAAGACATTTGTGCTTGTTCCATTGGAAAATCCTATTTTTAGATAGTCAGAATGTGCAAAAATGAAGTTAAACCCACATTTATTTCCTCATTTCTTATCACAAGAAAGATTGCTCACCATCATTTCGCTGATACCGTTTGACATTTTTTTCCAAGAATTCTTTACGTAGACCCAACATTTGTCATTTTGATAGGATAGATGTTGTCTCATAGCGATTAAGCTCTGATAGAAGCTTGTAAAATCCCAGACGTTAGAGCAAAAACGGGATCAGGAGTTTAATGATAATACTGTTTATGACCACTGTCCTATATTAGCTACTGTAAAAGTTAGACATGTTTTTAAAAAGTTGTATTGTATTTTTATTGCTTGCTCAAAACAGTAAAATCTTCCCCCATAACACTCCACACTTCTCAAACCAAGCCTGGGTTTGTTCTTTGGAGCCGGTCCAGGTCTGAGTGGGAGGGGCCCCCGGTGACAGGCACTTCCTCCTTTAGTCAGAGTGGGCGGAGTCTGTCCAGGAAGCGTCCACGCCTGACACCCTGCTCACACACGCCTCTCTCCCATACACTCACACACACACACACACACACAACCTCCTCTGACAGCAGCACCACAATTATAAGACAAGTTTGGACTTACTTCTACTTGGTTCTGCGAGGCTATAGCTAATGAAAAGAAGCACCTTTTCAAGTTTCAGATGGTACGGACTTTACACTTAAATCTAGCATCACCTGTTTTATAATTTGACTCAACTTTTTTGCTTCAAATGCAGCTAATTGTGTATGTATTTTCTGTGCAATTTCATATAAATAGGTTAAAAAACCAGAGGAAAGCAGCCGTCACAACAGTTGACAAGAAGGTTCCCAATGGCATCCTGGAAGAACAAGGTATTTTTTGATTTTTCTTCTAACAAAAATGCACTTTACTGGATTCATTGCAAAAATGTTAATGATTCATGGATGAAATCATATAAGTAATAGACACGTGAGAACTCGATTGTGTGGTTTCAGCAAGTTTCCTGTTGTATCTCACCTTATCACATTGTGTCTAGATCTATATTTTGGCAAAAGTTTCGGTTTCGCAAGCAAATCTCACTCTTGTACCGACACGTTATTTGCCTATTTGAGAAGCGGCTTGGTTGCAAATATGTCGCTCTATTTTTTTATGATTGCACTCTGCACACCGTTTCCTTACAATGACCTTTCTCAGTCAAACTACTGAGTCTGAAGACACACAACCCAGTGCCATAAATCAAATTAGATTATATAAACTCCACACAGTGCCAATGAGCTGTTAGTGTTATCCAAAAATCAAAATATATTCATGGGATTTGATCATAATTTCAATTAATAAGCTTTAAGTAGAAGAAAAGTTAAACAAGAAATGCATAAATAAGACCCCAACCTACAGCAATTCTTAATATACACAATTCTAGTCAAATTAGAGGAAAAATATTAAAATTTCAATTGTTTTGTTTAATAGATAAAGTATAGATTTTTACGTCATGTTATGGATGTTATGTCAATATTCTTGGATTATTGATAATGCTGTGTAGAAAATATGGTTGAAATGACATAGTGGGTTAAATTATACTCAATAAATGGAACGGAAAATGCATCAATAATTGTGAGTTTTGGTACAGATCTAACTCTAAAACTGGGTAAAACGTTCAGTAAAGGTCCAAAAGTCTATTTAGTGTATTATGTGCATTATTCTGTATCTATAGGTTTTCAGTCCAATCTCAATCTATCTCTGCTTATCTGACATATTTCATCCAATCGCACACATCTAACTGTCATATTTCAACTTTTCGGAGTACAGTCACTTTCCATTGTGACAGAAAGCAGCTGTGCTCATTGCGTTTCCCATATTGTATTGTGTTTTTAGATTTGGCTTACAGTACTGAGTCGCTTTACACCAGTTTACCCCCAGGTGTGGTATATACACAGCGACGGCACGTGGCGGGACCAGCTCACTAACAATGTGCAAATGTGTCGTTATCAAATGGGTTTTATGATGATGAACTAACAAACAAAATCCAGTCTTCAGAGTCAGAACCGTATCCATGTGTTTTGTGAATAAGGAAAGATTTCAAATATCGCTTTTGCTCTGTGTGTGATTGACGGAATACTGTTTTATGTACAGCTGTGTTTAATTTTATTTTTATTAAGTTTATATATTCCATGTATACAAAAGGTACACATTGAAAAAAAAGAGCAAATAGACAAAATCAAAAAAATTCAAAAAAATCTTCTGCCAAACAGTAATTAAAGGTCAACAAAATGGGTACATTACCAAACAAAGTTATTCCACAGTTACACATGGTTGATCAAAAAAACAACAAAAAGGCTGCACACCTCATACAATTTTTCCAATTTTAGATGAGCTAACACATCTTTGATCCAGTGTGAGAAAGTGGGAGGAGCAGCAAAACAGAACAGTTATGAACCTGGATTTGAACATTGAGACAATAATCCATTAAATACTTTAATATTTATTATTATAATATATTCAAAACAGTCCCTCCTCTTGGCATGACCATCACCACTAAGATTTGCTGGAGGGCCTCAGCTGTCAATCAAAAATCCAATGAGGAAGCTCAGGGGGTGGGTCTTAACAATTTGGAAAGTAACTGACATTAACTTTAAGTATAAAACATCTCAAAAATGTTTTAAAATGGCCCATTGGAAAAAAAAGCCAGGTCATGTGAATCAATGGGCAATAGATACTGTAGCTGAATGTATGGACAATGACAATCTTTTGTGGGGTTTGGAAATACTAAAAACAATCTAAACAGGATTTTTAAAATTGTATTATCATTAACGTTTGTAATTACTGTGTTCCTAAATGGGAGTGAGACCTGACATGGAAACAAAGCTGTTTGAAGACTGGGTTTTTATTGCTCTGATCATGTTGTATCATTGGGGTTTGTGGGTGTTGTCTCCAGGCTCTTTATGGTACTAACACCTGGTGATCTCTGGTTTCACTGTGTCTTTGTGAAAATATTCTCAAATCTGAAATTCTCTCAAAATTCCGACTAATGTGTTTTTATCTGCAGAACCCATGGCTGCGTTCACACTTCCTCAAACACCACACACAATCTTGTATATGAGAAGAACTCTAGTGGTAATAGTAGTAGTTTACAATACAGAACGTATAATTTTAAGAACAAAAAGATACAAAAAAAACTTGATCAATAGTCATTTTATTATTAGCTATTAACAAGTAACCAATTAATTAACAATCAACAATTAGGTTAGAGTGATTATAACTTGATACACAGCAAAAAGCAGTTTGTTGACAAGCTATAAAATGCTAACTGCTAGCATGCGAAAGTAAGTTGCTATGGTAACTACAACGGTCAGCACTAGATCATATACGGAATCGGGACGGAAGCGGAAGTAAATATAACAAAATACCTATTCATGCCTAAACTTAACCAGCCATTCCCATAAAATAACCCCAACCCACCATTAACCCTGACCTTAACCATCTTAATCAGACGCCTAAAACTTAACCAGTCACCACTTAAGGACTTTTTAGTCTAAAACTAATTCGAAAGTAGGATTGTTACTTCCCCTCTGGAGGAAATCCATGGGAGTCCAGGAGTTAAAGGTAGAAATAGATCAGATTCAGATTCAGATTCAGATTCATTTATTTGCCATTTGCAGTAAAACCACATTGGAAAAACTGTGCAAGACTACCCAGAGCTCTTGCCACGGCGCCATGTTTACGGCGAATATTAGAGAATTTAGATACAGAAAGTCAACGTTAGTGAGACCAAAAATGTACAGACGGCGAGTAATTACAAAAAAATAATCTGTCAAATTAACTGCTCTGGGAGTTTCAGTGCTAATGGAAAAAGGGCGGCCAACATATTTTGCTAACCCCTAAAGCTTTTTATACATTTTATCACTTAGATGGACAATAGCTGTGAAAAACCATCAGACCAATATTAAACTAAGCCGGGATGAGAAACCAAGGCCTAACTTATGAATGCAGACCTGGTTCAGAACATGGCACTAGACCACACAAGAGGACTAAACTAAACCCATTTCCACCAGCCCTACATGGCCCTGCTCTACCCCGATTGGTAGCGTTTCCACCGGCCCTGTGTAACCCATACCCATTGTTTTCAAGGCAATTTCTCTGGATACTGGTTTGTTGGATACAGTACTAGACACTTAAAGAGTTATAGAAACACAACCAGCTAGAGTAGAGCCGAGTAGAGTGGAGCCGAGTAGGGCCAAGTACTGCTGGTGGAAACAGGGCTAAAGCCTCCACTCCATCTCACGACAGTGTGAACGCAGCCTTGATCTTCTCCAACCAAACCCAATCTTTGCACATTTCTTTACAACTTTATCGACAAAAAGATCGTCATCACTGTCATTACTACCGTCCGTACAGAGCAGCAGACCGTGGTTCTCCTGCCCCCATCTCCCTCCGCCTCCAAGACGTACTTCCCCATCCTCCTGGAGCACCTGGAGGAGGAGTACAGGGTCCGATCTGCCGACGACGGGAAACTTTTCAGGGAAGAATACAACGTAAGTCCTTCCCCAGCTGCTTCTTTTTCAACTAGTATTTACTTCAAGCGTGAAATGACAACGCTTCTAATCCGGGATGCTACGCTATTGGCCGGGTTCCTCGCCACCTGTGTGATTACAGAGGTGTGGAGGTACAGTTGAGATGCGATAATAAGTACTGTAAAGGCCCTGCATGAGGTGCTAATGCTAGTGTTGATTGGATAGAGACAGTATTATGGTTTGGTATAATCACAAGTTCCAGCCTGTGTTTGGATTCAAGGTGTGTATTTAAAGGTGTAGGTTTGTGAGTGTGACTTTGGTCCAAATGTAAAATGGTAGAAACTGCAAGAAAGATAAAAATGGGAGCAAAGTAGTTGTTGATGATTTAATATGAGGTATAGAACAGATATAATTTATAGGTTCATATAGTTTGGTCGGCATTAGGGCTGTCAAACTCATTTTGGTCAGAGGACTGATATAAAAAGTAAGGGTAGGTCGGGGGCCGAAAGAATTTAAGGGATTTATTTTTCTTATTTTTCATTATGAAGGTATTTTGATATTTTTTTAATGTGACATGATTTCCACTATTATTTTCTGGTTGATTATTGTTTGGATTGGACCAAAACCTGGACCGAGTAGAATAAAAATATGCAATGCAATACTAACAAAGCCCACGGTCCGTAAATGCATGCATAGCACTGTTGCTAAGGTAATATTGTGGCAGTTAAAGCTTGTGTACCTAACTTTCAAGACTTATAATAAACTTGTATTACTATTCATCTAACTAGAGGCCTCTGTCACGTTAGATCAGTTTCATATCCTTTTAAAACATGGAGTATAAGGATTTTTTTTAATACTATTTGACTCTTTGGGCTGAGAGCTGATTGGCCGAGGGAGGGTGGTCCTCTCTGTGTCAAAGTTGTAGAGCTGCTTCCTACCTCGAGTGTATGAGATCTTTTGCATCACCTCCTTTTTTCCGCTCCCACCTCCTGAACCATGTGACACACACAACCATCACACGCGCAAAAGTCCCCTGGGGTTTAATGTATTTATTTATGAATGAGGATCTGAGTCAGGGCAGCTCTGACTGATGTGAGTGAGAGAAGGAAGTCAGAGAATAACTTTTTACGGCTGCTGCCACAGGAAGTGCCAATAACACACAGGATACATACATACACTACAAGACAATATGTACAGTAACTGGAGGTGGAAAGTTACTGTATTTAGTTTAGAACTTTTTTGTTTTTTTGTCTTAAGTAAAGACAAATTGTGACTTATTTAACTTTCTGTTTATTTTCTGCAGTCGATACCAGGAGGAAATGTCCAGGGCAAATATGAAGAGGCCAACAGGGAGGACAACAAGGACAAGAACAGATACCCTAATATCCTCCCATGTGAGTATACCACTACTACAACTACTACTACTACTGCTAGTACTACTAATATTACTGCTACTGCAATTGCTGCCACTACTACTGCTGCTACTGCTACTACTACTATTGCTACTATTATTACTGCTTCTGCTTCCACTACTACTAGTAATGCTATTGCTACTGCTGCTACTGCTCCTACTACTACTTCTACTTCTGCTACTACTGCTGCTACTGCTCTACTACTACTTCTACTACTGCTACTACTGCTGCTACTGCTCCTACTTCTACTTCTACTACAGCTACTACTGCTGCTGCTACTACTACTACTACTACTGCTGCGTTTATTTCTATTGAATCTGCCACTACTTTTACTGCTACTGCTGCTATAACTGTTATGATTATTATTACTACTACTACTAATTCTACTGTTGCTGCTTCTACAACCACTGCTACTGCTGCGACTTACTACTTAGAAGTAGTAGCAAATAGTCCTTGTTGAGCCTCCGTGTTTCATTCCCTGTGTGCTTTTCCATCGCAGACGATCATTCCCGAGTGGTGTTGACTCAGCTGGAGGGAGTTCCCTGTTCGGACTACATCAACGCTTCCTACATCGACGTGAGAAATGTTTTTGACGCTAAAAAAAACAAAAACAAAAAACAGGCTAAATGATGTACAGATGTATTGAATCATTGTCACTTTTCTCACAGGGATTCACGGAAAAGAAAAAGTTTATTGCAGCACAAGGTAGGTCGAAATGGAGTTGCCTGGTGTATGAAGTGTGCTATACAAAAAAACGTGCCTTGCCTTGGTTTGAATTGTTACAATAGGGAGTGTTTTTGATTGACAGGTCCCAAAGAAGACACGGTGGCAGATTTCTGGAGAATGATTTGGGAACAGAAAGTGGCCACCGTCGTTATGTTGACGAATCTGAAAGAGAGGAAAGAGGTGAGTTGGACTGTTTGTGGTGCCCCCTGCAGGTGAAAGCCAGATCCCCATCAGACCTCTGAAGCTAAGCAGGACAGGGCCTGGTCAGCACTGTGATGGGAGACCTCTGGGAAACACCAGGTGCAAGTCGTGAAGCATCTTTGAATGTCCTAAAAGGGCTTTATATATGTAAAACAGATGCACTATTGTTATTATTATCATTGTTAAACTGTAGATGACATTTTTGATTGCCCAAGAAATATCATGCCGTGCTTCTTTGTGAACCAATAGAACGATAGCCTACATCAGTCTATTGTGAAAGCTGGGGTTCATCATTCTCAAACCACAAAAAAAAAAAAAAAAAAAAACAGAACTAAAATAAAAATCTGTCTAGTTCCTTGCTGTACAAAAGAAACACATCATTTTACTTTGACCTTTCTGCTGGGACTATCAACACGTATTATCTATGAATCAATAAAGCTAGGTGTCCCAGCTTTAATAGAAGTAATGGGTGCTCTCTAATCTCAAAAAACATGTGTGAAATGTGTGAGAAATGTACTCTGTTTTATCTCACACTGCAAAAAATGAGAAAATATGAGGTATTAGTTGCCTTAATCAAGTGGTTTTTATCTTAATCTGAGCACATTCTGACAATACAAGATTTACCAATGGGACAAGCCATTTAGTCTTATTTCTAGAACTGTTGCTTTTTTTTCTCATTCTAAAACGATCATTTTGCTTTGTCCCATTGGCAAATCTTGTTTTAAGGCAGTCAGAAATCAGAATGTACTCAAATTAAGATACATTTGACAAATTTTGAGCAATTTTTGACTTATTTCTCATCACTTTTTGCAGTGCGTTGTTGTAATCCATCAAAATATATCGACTTTTCCATCACTTCAGCTTCTACTGTTTTGCTTTCTTTCTGCTGACTCTGTTTCAAAATCCTCGTCCACCTTTCTACTCCTCCCGTTTCTCTTCCACGGCCTCGTCCGCCGGAGCAGACCTAACGGGATCGATGTGCGGGAGAAATGGAGAGGATTTGAATCAGCGTGCGTGGCTTTAAAATCAATGGGAACATAATGGTGTGATAAAGTCCTTCGGGGAGTTTCATTACAAGGTTGTGGGGAGTTTAAATTAAGAGCCTGGCCTCGTGTGTCTTTGGGTAAATGTGAAGAGACCGCTGCGAAAACCCATGCAACCTTTTCCAAAGTCGTGGGCACAGCGTGAACCTCCAACCGGCAAAAGACACGCGTAATTGCAAGGACAGAAGCACGGCTGGAGGTTTATGGTCAATGTAGAACAGAGTATCATCCTTGCTTTGAGCTGGTGTTGTATCTACTGTCATATTCCGGTGTCGTTACATGCATTTGAATGTAGTCCGGGACATTCCTTTGAGGCCTGTAGTGGGAAAATGACTATGAATATGATTAATAACATAAGAAACTATTGCTTTTTAGATTGATCCATTTTATTTTTTACTTTTTCTGCTACTGGGCACCTGAAGTTCTCCTTTTGGGGATCAGTAAAGTATCTATCTATCTAAGAAACTGAAAAATACTCAACATATAGAGTCTTTGTGTTCATGGCTTGGCCTGGGTTTGATTCCACTTAGAGGACCTTTCTGAGTTTGCATGTTCTTCCCGTGTCTGGACAGCCGATGGAAATAATCTGCACAGCTCAAATCTGGTGGATTTACAGTTTCTGCTGTTCATGGATACGCAATACAAATACAAAATCTAGACACATTTTATAACCTATGTGTGTGTGAAGCTCATGCATTAGATCGAATAAAAGTTGTCTCTCTCTTCATCCTCCCACCCCGCACTTCCTCTGTCTCTTCTCCTTCCTCTCAAACCTCACTAGCCTGGGTAAAATTGCTAAATTATGGCTTTGTTTTGGGGCAGAAGAACTTTCCCGGGCCTCTTCTCCACAGCTAGGATTCACTTTTTACGCACTTATCGTGGATGTCTTTCATATACTTAAAAAAAAAATTGCACAGAGACGCTCGTTTTCCTCTGATCATTATAAATTCTGCCCTAACATGAAGTTTCCTCGCCTGAGAGAGATTGATGGGGTGTCTTTGCACTTCCTGCTTTCAGCCATGTATAACTAAACTGGTTTGAGAGAAAGGAACCAGTTACTTTGATTGTACCACACTAGCTACATGTTTGTGGTTTGACAGTTGAAGTACCCCAGCTTTAAAACTGAAGCGTATATATATGCTATTGCACTAAAGATTGAATATAGCTAAGACAGATCTCCGAATCTCCTTTAAATCAATTTGGCATTACTCTAGTCGTCAAAAGCAATCTTAAATGGATCAAAAACAAGATTATTTATTTTTATAGTTTTACATTTTGCAGCAGACTAAGGTTGTTACTAGTTTATGTCATGCTTTGCTCACATAATTATTCACCACAAGTTTATAAGCGGTTTTTAGATTGCTTGTTACTTTCGCACCTTAACTGAGCACTTCCTGTCTCTCTGAAATAGGAAATAACAAATCCTTTAAGCCCAAATGCTCAATTCAATTCAATTTAATGTATTTTTGCTGAACCCTATAACAACAGCAGTCGTCTCGAAGGACTCAGGCTGTAGAACCAGGACTGAGGCTGTAGAACCAGGACTGAGGCTGTAGAACCAGGACTGAGGCTGTAGAACCAGGACTCAGGCTGTAGATCCAGGACTCAGGCTGTAGAACCAGGACTGAGGCTGTAGATCCAGGACTCAGGCTGTAGAACCAGGACTGAGGGTGTAGATCCAGGACTCAGGCTGTAGATCCAGGACTCAGGCTGTAGATCCAGGACTGAGGCTGCAGATCCAGGACTGAGGCTGCAGATCCAGGACTGAGGCTGTAGATCCAGGACTCAGGCTGTAGATCCAGGACTGAGGCTGCAGATCCAGGACTGAGGCTGTAGATCCAGGACTGAGGCTGCAGATCCAGGACTGAGGCTGTAGATCCAGGACTGAGGCTGCAGATCCAGGACTGAGGCTGTAGATCCAGGACTCAGGCTGTAGATCCAGGACTGAGGCTGTAGATCCAGGACTCAGGCTGTAGATCCAGGACTCAGGCTGTAGAACGAGGACAACAGCCTAGCATGTGTCAGATTTGCATAGGGATTTCTTGTCAAACTGAAGTCTCTGTCGCCCCCTGCAGGACAAGTGTCACCAGTACTGGCCGGACCAGGGCTGCTGGACCTACGGGAACATCCGAGTGGCAGTGGAAGACTTCACCATCCTCGTGGACTACACCATTCGCAAGTTCTGTATTCAAAACGTATGTCAAATCTATTATTACTCTTACTATTACTCTAAAGTTGAAGAAAATATTCTTTTTTTTAAAAGAAGAAACAATGGTCTTTTTTAAAATCTCTCTTACCGTTTGCTCCATTCAAGCCACTATCAGGAACCACTGGCACAAATCAGAACAGACTTTTCCCCCCCGTCGCTTGTGTCTAAATGCTGGGGATGTTTCACTACTGACGATCACATATTGTCAGTTACACATGTTTATCCATCTGTAAAATCAAAATTTGAAATTAAAATGTAGAATTATTGCAAAAATGTAAATACCAATACATAGCAAAAGCACCAAAATACATACATGATAATATTAAATTGATAAGAAATGTTCATAAATGAAATGATAATAATTAATGAATTGAAAATGGTGTTTTTTTCCGCAGCAGGCCTCAGACACAGGGAAAAGCTCTCGCCTCGTCACTCAGCTCCACTTCACCAGTTGGCCGGACTTCGGGGTTCCCTTCTCTCCGATCGGAATGCTCAAGTTCCTCAAGAAAGTCAAAGCTGTCAACCCTCCCTTCTCTGGCCCTATCGTGGTCCACTGCAGGTTTGCCATCTCATTCCAATAAGATTCTCTGATCTGTAGTTGAGGAATCGACAATTATTAGTATTTTATTTAATTAAAGACACCAAAACAGACATACGCTAAACTCCTCTACTCCTCTAGTTTACTAATCCTTTGCCTCCTTCAATTCAATATTAATTTTGGTACAGCCCTAAATCATAAAAGCATCTAGGAGGGCTTTACTAAGTTGTCGATTCCTCAACAACAGATCAGAGAATCCAACAGTTTGAATACAGGATATGCGATAATAACAAACATTGGTCCATAGGGAGCGGGATGACCATGAATGTTGATAAATGTCCGGACAGGTCCTAAAAACCCAGTGGGAAAACATGGGACGGATAAATCACTCTTTTGTCTTAAAGGAGCTATATGTAAAAATCTGTGCTACTGCAAAAGTGGTACTCTCCCACTCTCCCTGACTCAGGTTGCCAGATATGCAGACAAATTCAGCTAGGACCGTAATATCTGAATGAGTTTTGTCAATAACCGATCTATAACCAACACATTTTTCACAAAGGCCCTGATAGAAATCCTTGTTTTATTTCTTGTTTTGTCATGAATTGTTTGAATCATAAAAAGACCGTTTTTAGTACTTCGACCACATGTTACTTTACCAGTGAGATTAGATTGACGCAGTGAGTTCTGGCATCCCGGATCATGGACTTTCTGATTGATAAAACGGTGGAGGGCGGGACATCGAAATGAAAGGCTGAACTATTAATAACAGTTAAGAAAGTATTGGAAAAGATCATGGTTTATGAATGCCTTTTGACATATTAGGGGCATTTAATGATGACTTGACATGAAAATCTTACATATTGCTTCTTTAGATAATAACATTTTGTGTGTTTTCCGTCAGTGCTGGCGTGGGCAGGACCGGGACGTTCATCGTGATCGACGGGATGATCGACATGATGCACACGGACCAGAAGGTTGACGTGTCCGGTTTTGTGTCCAAGATCCGGGAACAGCGCTCCCAGCTCATCCAGACTGATGTGAGTCTGTCTGCAGCGCCCTGGTGGTGAAACAACAGAATTACACGCCACACAACCATGTCCTATGGTGAAACAGGGACAACAGCTAGCTAGTGTTTGTGCGGCCCCCGAGCCTAGTTCCCATATGTTCCCACCATGGACTGTATATGGACAAACAATGCTAACCCCCTAGCTCAATGAAGCCTGATAGGGAAGTGCTCATGGACAAAGTTTTGCTCCATCTCGCTCTGCCTTCTATTGACTGACTTTGAAACACAAAACGAAACAACAAATAAAACCCATTTGACTTACATTAAGTGTATGTCAGTAACTTTTCAAACTGTGAAGCGAGTTAGACCCGCCCCTTCTCACTTCCGCAGCTTCCTGATTGGTCGAAATTCATTCAAATCCTTGAGGCCCCTCGTCAGCTGTTTAAGTGTTTTCCTTAAGCGTTTCTTACTGGCCGCAATTATAGGTGTTTTGAATATTACTGTACACTAAGTTACAGTCTTTTTATATAAAATTTATAAAAAACAAAAAATAAATCACCTTTAAAACAGTCCAGTCAACCTTCCTAACCTATAGTGTGGTTCACAGTTTTTGCATCCATGTGTTTTGGCCGCAGTCACATCTTTAGCTTTTGTCATACAGAACAATGCAAGAAAAGTCACTCAACTTTTTTGCCCAAGAGTCAAATTAAGACTCACAGGGCTCTTTCTCACAAGTATACAAAAGCTGACATGTTCTCTATAAGCTTAAAGCCAGTACATTGCGATTAAACTTGTCCACAACGTTTTAACTTCATGAGAATATTGCGTTTCCCTTTGTGTTTACAGATGCAGTACTCGTTCATATACCAGGCCCTTCTCGAATACTTCCTGTACGGAGACACGGAGCTGGACGTGTCGTCGTTAGAAGGACATTTACACAAACTGCACAACACGTACGCAGACGGGGACCGCGTGGGGCTGGAGGAGGAGTTCAAGGTTAGCCAGAATCACCTTTTTTACTATGTTAAAAAGTTGTTATTTGGATGAAAAGTTTGCGAAAGCACAGTTACATAATGCAGAGATGATAAGGTCTCCTCTGGCACACACTGGGTCCACTGCTTTTCCTCTTCCTGTTCCTCCTCTTTCCTCGACGTCCGGCTTCTGCGCCTTCAAATCAAATATTTTCTTATGTGCTTCCGGTTCTGCCATCTTTAAACAGTGTATCAAAGGAACCTCTTGGCTGTAGAATCTGCATTTGTTTAGTTTTGAGGCGTTTTAGCCCAGTTTATCGCAATATATATACAGCACATACATAAAATCCTTCTTCATTTCCTATTATGTCAAATGTACAAAATGTATGTGGCATGAGGAGTTGCTGCTTCTCCTGCTTTAAAGTGGCAAATACACTTTTTTGATGCTGAAACAAAATACTTTCATAATTGATTAAAATTCTATGTTCTGCTTTGACAGATGTCCGAGGCCTGCTGGGTCGAGTTTTACCTGCATCTAAAGCTTTGTATTTCTCCTGTATTCCTGATTAGAAACTCACCAATATGAGAATAATGAAAGAGAACATGCGGACAGGGAACCTCCCAGCCAACATGAAGAAGAACAGAGTACTCCAAATCATCCCATGTAAGTACACAAGTACACAGACTACTACAAACTTCAAAACTGCATTCCCAGTTGGGTCCCAGTTTACGCGTATTTAATAGTTACTTAATGTAACTTAAGTTCTACGAATAGGTGCGTAGTCCCTTAGGACTTCGCTAGTGGGATATCACTCGTGACCCCCAGGTCACGCGCCAGAGAGATCAAAATAATTTGCTCCAATCACCAGCCACCTTCCTCTATAAATGCCCCTGCACAAGGCCGCACCCCCTCTTGAACTCTGCCAAGCCGGGCTGGCCTGATGGGCTCGTAGCTAAGGGACTACGCACCTATTCGTAGAACTTAAGTTACATTAAGTAACTTTTAATTCTACGTCATGGTGCTACGTCCCTTAGGACTTCGCTAGTGGGACACAACGCGGAGGCCGTAGGAAAATGTACTCCCAACAGGCCAGCGAAGGGTGATTGGAGCTCCGCCCGAGCAAGACCCTCACAAAGTGAGAGGACTCAGGGCAGAAGAAACAATGCGTGTTACAGGGCCACTCCTACCAAGGATACCCCCACGTAACACAGATATAGGTCATCCGTAGTCACAGGACGCCTCTCCCAAGGGCTCCTGACGTGGACTACCAGACCGACCAAACACACATATATGTACCGCACCTGTAGGATGCCTCTCCCAAGAGCTCCTGAATCAGGGCGGAAAGTAAACCGAAGGCCCCCTCAGAGGAGGGACCTAACGGTCTAACTCAGTCCGCTGCACTCAGCACGGAATGGGCCACCGCCCGGTCCGACACATCCAAAGATAAGACCGGACGAAAGAGGAGGACGAAGCCCAAGAAACCGCACGGCATACGTCCTCGACCGACACCCCCCCTGAGAAGGGCCGTAGAGGCCGCCATCCCACGCGTGGAATGCGACCTGAAGCCCACCGGGAGGGCCAGACCCTGCGTCTGATACGCCCGCCGCACAGCCGTGGCAACCCAGTGCGCCAGCCGCTGAGCCGACAGCGGGGCGCCCCTGTTCTTGGGGCCCAGATACACAACAGCTGGCCACCCAACCTGAATGACGACGTCATGGCCAGGTAATGCCTCAGCATTCTGACAGGACACAGAAGGTGCCGCCGCTCCTCCTCGGGGGAGGCATGCGGTGGCGGATAGAAAGCCCTAATCCTGATGACTCTCGACCTAAAGGCCGACGTGATGACCTTGGGGAGAAAAGCCGGATTGGGCCACAATACCACCATGCCGTCGCCCTCTCCAAAGGACAGGCAAGACGCATGGACAGAGAGCGCACACAAGTCGCCCTCCCTCTTAGCAGACGCCAACGCCAACGCCAACAAGAGGGCCGTCTTAGGCGACACACTCGGGACTCGCCTCCGCCGCCGGTTCAAAAGGCGGACCCGACAGCCCCCTAAGGACCACCCTGAGGTCCCAAACCGGGGCGTTCTCTGGAGCGGGGGCCTCCTCCTGCGTGCCCCCCGCAGAAAACGTTTAACCAACGGATGAGAGCGGGCTGTGAACCCCCCGAATCCGTTGTGACCCGAAGTAATGGCTGCCGCGAACACCGCCAAGGTGGCGACAGCCCTCCCCTTGTCAAAGAGCTCCTGTAGGAATCCCAGGACCCCCTCCAGCGGGCAACGCCTGGGATCCCAGGAACGAAAACCGCACCAGTCGCTGAGGAGCCTCCACCTCGTGGCGTAGGCCCTCACAGTGGACGGCGCCCTCGCCCCCTGAGTGGTCTCCACCACCGCAGGGGGAAGACCCAGGTCTACGAGGTTCCGCCTCTCAGCCTCCAACCCAGAGCCTGCGGCCGATTATCGGGCGTGAAAACAGGGCTCATCCCCCCCTGGACTAGAGCCCCCGGCTCGTCCGGGAGGGCCCAGGGCTCCATCACCGCCATGCCCCTCAGGAAGGGGAACCACCGAGCATGCGGACTGTCCGGCGCCACCAGGATCACCGACCTCCTCTCCTGTTCGATCCTCCGCAGCAGGACCGGCAGGAGACGCACTGGTGGGGAACGCGTACAGCAGGCCCCCTGGCCAGGGGTAATGAGCCAGAGCGTCCACGTCTAAAGGCGGCTGGTCCGCGGCCCTTGAGGCGAACCAGGACGGGCACTGTGCGTTTCCTGCACTGGCGAAAAAGGTCGACCACTGGACGGCCGAACCTCCGCCAGATCTCCGCAGCCACCCCTGGGGCCAGGCCCCACTCGTCCTCTCTCCCACTGCGAAGCGCAGAACCTCCTGTGTTCCGGTACTATCGGCACGTGGAAGTACGCATCTGTCAGGTCTATGGAGCACATCCAGTCTCCTTCCCTGACACACTCGAGGAGCTGCCTTGTGGACAGCATCCGAAACTGGCGTTTGGAAATGCACTCGTTTAACACGCGCAGATCCAGAATGGGACGCACCCCGCCTGATTTCTTTGGCACTAAGAAGTAAGGGGAGTACAGCCCCCTGGTGGCGTCCTGCGGGTCTACCTCCACTGCTGCGCCTCGACTCAGCAGAGAGGAGACCTCCGCTTGTAGTGCCTCTGTCGATCCCCGTACCTGAGAGCGTACTGCCCGTACGCCTCGGAATGGTGGTGGCCTTCGGAAAAATTGCAGCGCGTAACCTCTGCGCAGAGTTTTCTCCAGCCAAATATCTGTCAGTAGGCCCTGCTCCCTCCAGATGTTGTATAAATCTGTGAGGGGCGGAACGGGAGATGGAACACGAGACGTCACTGTCCCGCCCTCTCCTGGTGTTCCTAGCAGGGAGGGGGGGTGGACGAAAGGGCCGGGGGGCCCCCTGCGTCACACTGTGAGCGCCGGGGGCGGTCACGTGTCCTGCAGGCCCGACGTCATAAGTACGGGACTGCTCACCACACGTGACTCGGCTGCTGTGCCCCCCCCTGGCTCTTGCCTCATGGAGGGGGGGGGCGAGCCCCTGGAGTGGGAAACCCCGTGTCAGCCCTGTAGCTCTGCTCACCACACGTGACTCGGCTGCTGTGCCCCCCCCTGGCTCTTGCCTCATGGAGGGGGGGGGCGAGCCCCTGGAGTGGGAAACCCCGTGTTAGCCCTGTAGCTCAGACATGCTAACACGCGTTCGGCCGAAGCACACACATATCACTCACCAGATCCCTCCGCCTGACCTCTCTCTGGGAGGGCATAGTATGGATCAGAGAAACCGGAGCTCGTAGTGCACTGCACGCCCCTCTCTGGGGCTGCAGGCCTAGCGAAGCAACGTTATGTGCCCGGGAAGTAACACAATCAGAATTCACAATATTTGACATGTTACATACCCCCAAATCAGACTCAGAAAAGTAATGGAAATGCCGGTCGGCCTTTATTGAAGGAAAAATTTTTCCACCCCGGCCTCCTCTACCATAGGGAGGTCGGTGGTGGGTGCGTTGCTCCCGCGAGCCACCCATGGGTCTGTCTGGACCCGGGGGCCTCGTCAAGGGGGGACGATGGATAACAGAGCGCGGATACGGGTCAGGATGCCTCCCGGGCCAACGCTCTCTGCCTCTGTCCCGGCTCCGTAATGGCTGGTGGGCCTCGCGCCTCGGTGCTAGGTGCGGGGCTAGCCTAGCCGAGTCTTTAGCTGCAGACTCCAGTCTCGCCACCCAGGCCTGCATGTCCGGGCCGAAGAGGGACATCTGAGAGGTGGGCAGGTCCAGCAGCTGCCTCCTCTCCGCCTCCCTGATATTAGCCAGCCCAAGCCAAAGGTGCCTGGCCCGACTTGGGCTGCTGCCATGGAGCGGCCACCATCCACAGCTAGCGTCTGGCACATGCGCAGAGTCGCCGCCGAGGTGGTCCTCGCCTGTGACAGGAGGTCTCCACTGAGCGCCTGGTCAGAAGAGAGCAACATATCCAGGGCCCCCGTGATGAATGCCATGTAGTTAGTCAATGCGAGGACCTGTGCTGCAATGGCATAACATCTATCCGGCATCGCCAAGACATCCTGTCTCGCTCGGAGGGAAGGAGAGGTCTGGTGCCGGGCCACACGAATGCGGAGGGCTGCAGGGCCCTGCGGACTGAATCCTCGGTGTCCGGGCCACCATCCACGGCTAGCGTCTGGCACATGCGCAGGAACGCCGCCGAGGTGGTCCTCGCCTGTGACAGGAGGTCTCCACTGAGCGCCTGGCCAGAGGAGAGCGCCCTATCCAGGGCCCCCGTGATGAAAGTCATGTTGATAGCCAATGTGACGACCTGTGCCGCATTGGCATAATATCTATCCAGCCTCGGCAAGACATCCTGTCCCGCTCGGAGAGAAGGAGAGGTCTGGTGCCGGGCCACACGGATGCGGAGGGCTGCAGGGCCATGCGGACTGAATCCTCGATCACCGGTCCAGGACCAGTCCTGCCCGCTGCAGTATATGTCGTACCCCAGAGCAGGCCTCTTGGCTGCTAGGGGCTTTGGCCACTCACGTGTCGCGTAATGGACGAACGGGTCCATCCGCGGGCACAACGTGGGTTTTATCCTCCTCCTCCCTTGAGTGGTGGCGCCCACAGAGGTGAAGTCCTCCACCGTCTGGATCCAGTGACGACGTCCGACGCCGGAGGGCGAAGGGAACTCGGACGAAAAAGGAAGACATCTCAGAATGAAGTAAGTACTGTGGTAGATCTCGAACGGCGCCAGAGTGAAAGAGTGGGTGCGGCCTTGTGCAGGGGCATTTATAGAGGAAGGTGGCTGGTGATTGGAGCAAATTATTTTGATCTCTCTGGCGTGTGACCTGGGGGTCACGAGTGATATCCCACTAGCGAAGTCCTAAGGGACGTAGCACCATGACGTAGAAACAGACAGCATTCCCTCGACAGCAGCAGCATTTGTTCGAGCGTTCCGTGACTGGTCATAACTCGCCCGTCATCCACATTATTCCCATGTGTTTTTGAAACGGAGGCATTTCCTGTGTTTCTGATTCAGACGACTTCAACAGAGTCATTCTGTCCATGCGCCGCGGACAGGAGTTCACCGACTACATCAACGCCTCCTTCATAGACGTAAGACTCAGCTCCTGCACAATCCTAATTTTTCAATAAGATATGCTTCTCTCTGACTGCATTCTAGATACTTTCATACATATAGATATTAAGACATTTAGATACAGATACAGAGAATCCATAGCCACTGTATCTCCCACTTCTACAGACCTGACCCGTTCCCGTCCGTTGACCTCAAACCGGTCCATTGCTTATTGAAAAGAATCTGGAGTCAATGAAAGCTTGTAACTTAATACGTGGTAGCATGGAATTTCAAACATTTATTCTGTTCAAGTTAATGAACCCGACATTGTATTAGTAATAATCTGCTCTAAACTAAATGTCCACAAAAACAAATAAAACACTTCTACAACTATCAATGAAATTATCAATGAAACTACTACCAATGAAACTATTAGTAATGAAAATGTTAGTCATATTACAACTACAACTACTGCAACTACTACTACTGCTGCAACTGCTACTACTACTTTTTTTGCCACTACTACTAAGACTACTGAAAATATGTCAACTAATAAAAATTTAGTAACTTTTGAAATTAACAATTAAAACTACTGTCATCTACAATTCCACAACCTTCACATGAACGTAGAGATATATAAACATTTTTTTTTGACAAATACAACTTATCCAATATCAGTTGATCACACATTTTGATTCTTCCTTGTGACATCCTCTTGCTCATCTTTTTTCACGTACTCCTCCAAACTCTGTAATCTTGACCTGGGTGTGTACTTTCAGGGCTACAGACAGAAGGACTACTTCATCGCCACGCAGGGCCCAGTCCCGCACACCGTGGAGGACTTCTGGAGGATGGTGTGGGAGTGGAAGTGTCACTCTATTGTAATGCTGACAGAGCTCCAGGAGAGGGAGCAAGTGAGTCAACTATACACTATGCACACATACAAGACACAACAGTCTGAAAATCTATGACATTTTTTCTCACAATAAATGTACATTCTCCCGATCATTGGAATACTTTATTTCAACTGCACATAACACATCTATGAGACCACATGGGTAAGTTTTTCTGGATTTGAACACTTCCCTGTGTCCTTTTGGGAAGCACTTTGAACTCCTCTGTGTGTGAGTCGTTCTCGGCAATCACACCGCAAAGGATTCTGGGGTTTTACAGAAAGTCCATCAGTAAATCAATGGATGGTAAAACACAAAAAAATACTACTGTCAGAGTGGAGCGGTCTGTTTCTTCAGGAAATGCAATTATAACTGTTTTAAGCTTGTTTTATTTTATATATGTGTCTGGTACACACTGGGGAACTTTAGCACATGTATTTCAGTGTGACAATTTCAAACCAGACAGTCCGTTCACTTTAAACCATGAATTAATATTGGTAGACTGGTAGATTGGTAAAAAATCTTGTCAAAATGTCTTCTTTACTGTTAAAGCTGTGCACATCTCATCTGAACCTTGTCGAACTCTTTCTCGCTAAGGATTGGGGTGTGTGTGCGCGTGTGTGTGCGTGTGTGTGTGTGTTTGTGTGTGTGCTGCCCTGCCTTACCTGACCGTGTCGCTGTTGTGTTTCCAGGATAAGTGTTGTCAGTACTGGCCGACAGAGGACGCAGTGTCGTACGGAGACTTCAGAGTGGAGCTGAAGGCGGACTCTCTGTGTGACACGTTCAGCCTCAAGGACCTGGTACTGTCCTGTGTGCCGGTAAGGACTACACACGCACGCACACACATACACACACACGCACACACACACGCACGCACGCACGCACGCACGCACGCACGCACACACACACACCCAACACATTTTCATTTCTCACCAATGACATGATCCTGAACCATCACATTAATTTGTATTTGACAACGGCCAATACACAAAAGACCGCATCCTACTGGTGATATGTGGAATTACAATCACTCATTTGTTTTTAAAGTAATATGGGATTTATTAATTAAGTCAAAGCAAAATCAAAGGCAAGCACAGTTTATACAAGTCAACTCAAGGTTCTGAACTACCCAAGATAGAAACAACCATACAAGTCATAAAAATCATACTAAACTAAACCGTTGTTAACCTGGATTAACCTGAACATTTAATTGTCAAAGTAGAAGCTCCTTTCACATTTTTAGGATGACTGGTCCAGATTTTAGCTGCATAAATCTGAAACGCTGCCTCCTCATGTTTAGTCCTGACTCTGGGCAGGAGGCCAGTCCCTGTGCTCCTCAGAGTCCCAGCAGGAGGCCAGTCCCTGTGCTCCTCAGAGTCACCAGCAGGAGGCCAGTCCCTGTGCTCCTCAGAGTCACCAGCAGGAGGCCAGTCCCTGTGCCCCTCAGAGTCACCAGCAGGAGGCCAGTCCCTGTGCTCCTCAGAATCCTCAGTTACAGTAGTTCATGGCTTTCTGTCTGTGGAATCTTTCACCCAAAATACATAAGCAGTAAAGATTTATAAAATCATTTGAATATCAGATATTCGTAGCCCATTCCAGTATCTCGGTCTACATTCTAAAAAAAGTGCAAATGAATTGAAATGCGATGAGAAGAATCCACTCATTAACTCTGATTAAACGAAGCGATATTTGAAGCAGCTTCTCCCACTGTGTGTTATTGGATCCTGTCTCATCCTAAAACCAAACGTACGGCTGTAATCTTGTTGGAGCACTCAGAAAGGCGTCGGTAAGTGTGCACGATTCACAAATGGAGCTCAGTGAGTCAGCAGCAGCAGCAGTAAAGTAAAGGCCATCTCCAAATATAGACAGATCTTTTGCACCAACAATCACTCAAGTTCTTAGTATAATTTTATCAATCTGATGCATGTCCGTTTCTATTCTAGTCTCATAGTCTTTCTCAAAACTACTAAGACACTTCAAGAAAATGTGACGTAAAATGTGCTGAATTTGGTTTTTAATTTTTTTCCCATCTTAATTTGAGTTCATTTTTGACTGTGTTAAAACTATATTTGTCAATGGGAGAAGGCCAGGAATTCTTTGTTGCTCAATTTTCTCATTCCAACGGAGACATTTCTTGTATCTTTTCAAAGCACAATACTTTAGCTCATTGTCCCATCGGCAAATCTCGTTTTACAATAAGGCAGTCAAAATGTGCTCAACCGACGACACATTTGAGCACATTTTGACTTATTTTGACTTATTCTCACTTTTCCAGTCTATACACCTTGCACTGCTGCACGTTTTGCCATATTTACAAACATAAACATAGAGAAACAACTATTTTTTATTTTATTTTTTTTTTTACTGAAAGTTCATGCACATGTAACAGACAACAGTGAAGTGAAAGTCAAATGGTACAAATCTGTTTTTATCTTTATTTTAACTGGGATAAAACGAAAAGTTGGGCCCCGAAAAGTATTTATACATCATGAGTTAATAATTTGTGGAACCTCCTTTTTGCAGCAATAACAGCAGCAAGTTTTTTATGGTATGACTACACAAGATTGGCACATCTAGAGACAGAAAGTTTAGCCTGTTCCTCTTTACAAAACTACTCGAACTCTATCAAATTAGATGGAGAGCGTTTGTAACCAGCAGTTTTCAGGTCTTTCCACAGATTTTCTTTTGGATGTAAGTCTTTATGTCTCTCTAACAGAATCACGTATCATTTTACTTTCACTTCACAGTTGTCTGTTTCTTATGTGTGAACTTTCAGTACAAAAATCACTATAAAATCTATATGTTTATAGTTGTAAACCTGACAAAATGTGCAAAATTTGAAGGTGTATTAGTCCTGTATGTCCTCCCAATCATAATCCTCTGTTTAGACCAGACCCAGCAGCCAAAACCAACGACTCGAGTAACAATATTTTGCGATGAACTACTCTATGAAGTAACAAAAAGTACCCGGGTGAATAAGTTTGGCGGTGGATCAGAATACCTTGCGATTAGATTTGGCTGCAGAAACAGGAGCAGGTCTGCGTGGACGGAAGCAGAGAGGTGTGTGCCGCCGATCGAATTAACTCCACCATAATCACTTGCGAGATATCCGGCTGCACTTCCGCTCCCTGTCTGAGTGTCGAGCTGTAGACGACCGAGGCTGTTGACGACCTTCACAGCTACGGTTACAACGTAGAGTGGAGGCTCCATAAACACGCACACACAATCTTAGATAGACTGATGTTTTCCGATTGACAATATGCTAACAGTGCATTTAGAGTTTGCTAAAATAGGACCAATAATGAGACAATAATACAAGACTTTATTTGCCATTGTAGTAAAACCACATTGGAAAAACTGTGCAAGACTACCCCAGTGTGCACCAGAAGGAAGGTAGAGATGAACGGGTGACCTGAACCCTCTCCAGGCTTGCTTCAACTTCATTTCATATTTCCCAACCACTGATGGACGTATTTGAGCTTTTGTCTCACTTCCGAAATGTCAGTCTCCTTGGTATCATCTGTTAATTTATAGATTTTCTGACCAAAATGTGAGTAAGGACTACCCCCACTCAGCCAATCAGCTCTCTGGCTAAAGAGTCAAATAGTGACGAACAGAGCTGGGCAAAAGATAACATGTTTTCTAATGTGTGATCTGACAATTTCATGGGTTTACGAGACAAACTAAACGAAAAGTTAAGTGCCTCAGTTTTAATTGCCCATGTGTTTACAGGAGAAGCAGACGCGGCTGGTCCGGCACTTCCACTTCCACGGCTGGCCTGAGATCGGGATCCCGGCCGAGGGCAAAGGAATGATCGACATCATCGCCTCCGTCCAGAAGCAGCAGCAGCAGTCGGGAAACCACCCCATCGTCGTGCACTGCAGGTACACAGAGGGGCCTGTCTGAGTTTGCATGTTCTCTCCGTGTCTGTGTGGGTTTACTCCAGGTCACTCCTTGGTCCTGACCAAGCCCAGGTCTTACTTGCTGTGACGCCATTTTATGTTTAAAGATACACATTATGCTAAATACTGTGTTTTGATGCCTGTAGTCCCCTTTCCCTTCCATCCAAACATTAAGAATTTCTAACTATAACTCCTGTGGTTAATGAAGTCGGCAGAATTTATTTACTTCTTTGTGCCTTTGTTTAGTAGAATATGGTTATTTGGTTCTTCTATACCAGTGCTATAAAATTATAAAATATGAAGTAATGAGTGGATGAATTTAGTGGGGTTTTTTTCTTTTATCTAAATTCTGACTGTCTTAAAACAAGATTGGCCAGTGGGACAAAACCATTTAGTCTCATTTCAAGAACTGTGGCTTTATTTTCCAATTTCCAAGGAGAAATTTCTTGTATCTTTTTAAAACAAGATAATTTTGCTCATTGTCCCATTATCCCAAATCTTGTTTTAAGGCAGTCAGAATGTGCTAAAATTAAGATACTTTTAACAATAATTTTAGGAACCTTTTTTTGTGCCTTTTGTGGTGTCTGTGTGTTTGTGTGTAACCCTCTGTTGTGTGTGCAGTGCTGGTGCAGGGAGGACCGGTACGTTCATCGCTCTCAGTAACATCCTGGAGAGAGTGAAGGCCGAGGGTCTGCTGGACGTGTTCCAGACCGTCAAGAGTTTACGAATGCAGAGGCCTCACATGGTCCAGACTGTAGTACGTCTATTCCTATGTAAACTGCACTATAGACGCACACACTGGACTATAGACGCACACACTCTGGACTATAGACACACACTGCACTAAAGACGCACACACTGGACTATAGACGCACACACTGGACTATAGACGCACACACTGGACTATAGACGCACACACTCTGGACTATAGACACACACTGCACTAAAGACGCACACTGCACTATAGACGCACACTGCACTATAGACACACTCTGGACTATAGACGCACACTGCACTAAAGACGCACACTGCACTAAAGACGCACACTGCACTATAAACGCACACTGCACTATAGACACACACTGCACTATAGACACACACTGCACTAAAGACGCACACTGCACTATAGACGCACACTGTCTGTTGTCAGTTAGTTCATAGCAACACTGCACTAAGCAAAAACACACTCTGGCAGTGTCAGAGAGGTCAAAAGAACGAAGCAGAAGTTAAAGTACTACCGCTTTTTTTTATATAATCACATTGCAAAACAAATGTTGATTGTTGCTATGGCAACAAAAAAGAAAAATCTCAGTTTGAGGATCATCATGAGACAAAGCTGAATTTCAATTTCTAGTCTACGTGGAAACAGGTTTAAGCTAACAACACTCTATTCTACCCAGATCCTATACATCCATCCATCCATCCATTTTCTACCCTTTAATCCATTTCTGGGTCAGAGAGCAATCAGAGATGCCACCCAAGTCTCATAGCACCAGCCCCTCACTGACCCTCTGCAGGTGGTGAGTCCACAGGAGGACGGCTGCTCTCTGAGTGTGAGCATAGCCTTGATCTTTCAGTGGGGGCTTTGGGCAAAGTGGGGTTAAGTGTCTTGCCCAAGGACACAACGACAGCAGTCATCAGCGGGAGTCGGTGGAGAAGGTATAGAGGTGGGAATTGAACCCACGACCTTCTGGCCTGAAGGCCAATGCTCTACCAACTGAGCTACTGTCGCCTATACATCCATTAAATGAATCTATCAACATCATATTTAGTCGTCTGTATGTAATAATAATAATAATAATAATAACCCTTATTTCTCTCTCTCTTTATTCCAGGAACAGTACGACTTCTGCTACAAGGTGGTACAGGACTTTGTGGACATTTTCTCAGACTATGCCAACTTTAAATGACGACAAATTTAAATGCCTTAAACACATTATTTGTAATGTTATCTTCTATTTTGCTATGCACTCGTCCTCTCCCGGTGACTTACCCTCTGCCCCTCCCTGCTGTACTATAGTGTAATGTTAGTGATGATAAACGTTTGAAAGGTCCATGTATATTTCACATATTGTATGATAATTCATTCACTTTGTCCCGTTGTATAATATGTATTTTAATGTTCATTGTATTGATAATTATTTTAAAAAACGTGGTCACTGTAAATGTATTTATGTCCCGATTCTCTGACAGGAATGTATGGATTGTTACCTTGTTTTTATTCAACGTAATAACACAGTTTTGGCAATTTGCTTTTTTTAAATCAAGTTTTAGCTAAAACGGACAAAGCTTAACGTCGAGCTACAAAACCTATTGTGAATGTGACAATTTTTTTTTTTCCACACCTAAGCCATACACTGCAGACAGGCTTGAGTTTTCTTGGAATAGTTTTGGATTTTGAAGTGAAAATGTTTGGGGCAATGCTTTGTTATGAAGCAAGGAGAAGCATGGTATGTCTTCTTTAAGTTGTTCTAAATTAATGGAGTACATATATTTAAAATATTTCATTAAGAAAAGTAATCACATAGAAAGAAACTACATATAGAACGGACGACCAAAAAGGTGCATACCCTGAGCAATCACACTTCCCAAACTAAAAGCCGTCAAATTAACTGCCCAGTGTTAATAACCGGGGCGGCACGGTGGCACAGTCGTTAGCAGTTTCGCTTCACAGCAAGAGGGTCCGTTAAGACGAAACCTGTTCTGACTGAGATTCGAACCCAGAGTGGCATGTTTTACCAGTGTCTGCATAGGTTTCCTCCAGGTGCTCCAGTTTCCCCTACCGCTAAAAACATGTACGACAGGTAAAATCTTCTTCTTGCTTCTGACAGAGTTCCCAGGGCAATTGCAACTAACTTTTTTGTGGTCTAAAATGCGATGTGACAGAGACATTTTGAACGCGACCCATTCGAGATTGGCCCCACTGAATACAACTTCAAAATCCCGAACTATGAGTAGTATTTACGGCAGTCGAGAGCGTCTCTGAGGCAGGAGTACGACGACAAGCACAGTATATATATATTTATGAACTCACATGTTGTAACTAAACACACAGGTATTGTGCCATTCGCTTTCTTTGGGCGATATGTTCAAAAGCTCATGTTCCAATGTGAATCCAGACCGATGCAGTAACTTTCTGACGTATTGTACAAACGCCACAGAGCGCAGTGGTGCTTCAGTGCCTGCCTTTGCCAAAAGCACATGTTCTCTCATCAGCAGAAATAATAAAGACTTTGTTTTGGCTAATTATAAACTGTGTGTGTTGGAGATTTTTGATTTAGTCGCCTTCATGACATTATGTATGATTGGTTTTTACTTTTAATACAATATTTGATACTATATAAGGTATGCTGGAACTTCTTAACATTTTATCATCAAAAAATGCTTGAAAAACAAGTTTATGGACACATATTACGCTAAATATTCAGGTTTTATAGCCGCAGTCCCTTATTCCTTCTGCCCAAATGTATAGAATTTCTAACATTTAATGAATTTCAATCTAATTTGTTTTCGTATACCCAAACTCACAACTACATAGTGAAGATACTAGGAGTGTGACGATATATCGATAGTGTGATGTATCGTGATACTTTCTCACACGATCGATTATCGATATGCTTTTTCCAAGTATCAATTTAAAAAAAAAAATAAAAAATTGTATCAATACTTAATATATGGCTACATTACGCATCTCCATTCCATTTATCATGAAATAAAGTGTATTTTTTCACTTAACATTTTTCTTTTATTTATGCTAATAGCCAAGTGAAGCAAATCTGCTATACCATGGCGGCGACAGGGTTAAAATGTCTGAGCCACTGTCCTGAGACCCTCCTGGATCGACAGAGTACTTTATTACAAAATGACCTACTTTGGGACTCCTTAGATTTGGTCTTGTACAACAACCTAAAAAATTCACAAAATAAATAAGTTCAAGAATACATATTATGCAAAATAGTCGGTTTGATGCCTGCAGTCTCCTCTCCCGTCTGCCCAAATGTTTAGAATTTCTAACTTTGTATGTTCTAACAAATGCTTTTAGTATGTCTTCCAGTACAGACTTTTACTCTGTCTTTTACAACAAAAGTATTGCCTCCAAGTCTGTTTTATACTTTTCTCCAGCCAAATAACAACCAGGTTTTTTCCATTGCTTCATACGATGTTTTTTAGCTTCTTAAATCAGCAGATATGTGACAATTTCTTAGGTTTAATCAACATAACTTAGTGACCCTCATCCAATTTGAACATAAACAATGGACTAAACATGACAATGAAACTAAAGAACAAGATGTAAATTACAATAGACTTGTACTATATCAATTATTTAGTGTCTCTGCGAGGACTTTTCCACCTTAAACAGATCTGTCTTGAAATATACCACATGGTGTCGCCACGTCTCCCAGGAGATATGTAAGTGTAAAGCCATAGTGGGAGTTTCCAGGTTTACCCATCAAACAGAGTCATGTTTAAAAAGTCCACACTTCTGATTTATACACATCACCAGCAGAGGGCGCACAGACTCCAGATGCTGAGTTGAAGTTAATAAAATGGGACCAAAAACAACTGGAGCCAATAATGAAACATAATTATCAACGTATTTTTTATCTGCGAGGAATAACGGCGTTTGGTGAAAGAGCAGAAAACTCAAAACATTTCAGGTGAGGGGAACAACGAAATATGATAAAACAGCTAAAGAAATCCTCCATTTTCAATCAAGTCTCCAACAATAAAGTAGGTTATCTTTACATTTCTCCAAACATTTATACTTCTATCTGTTAGTAGAAGGGTATACAGTAGCGTACCGTTCCAGAGAGCCAGAGGATAATGGAACGGTTAATTTAAAATCGCTTCCAAATGTTGAAAAGGAAATTGCTAATGGTGCTTTCTGCTCCACATCTGTCTTCAGACTTAAACAGCTGCAGGGAACAGTTCATAGTGCTTTGTCTGTGTAGTACAATATCACTGCAGTAAGAAATAGCTGAAATTTGGCTAAAAGTATCTTCAATTGAGCACATTTTACAGCACAGTATAACATTTTTATTGATATTATATGTGGATTAATTGCATCGTTTTCTGTGTATCTACATCTGCTTCATCAAATTCCCTTGGAATGAGAAAATTAAGCCACTAGACAAGAATAGAAAAATATATTACTTTCTGCATGGTTCAGAAACAGACCAAAACTCCTATTTCCTAAAAACAATTCTTGAAATAAATGGCTTTGGCAAATCTTGTTTTATCTCAGTCAGAATGAGCTCGGATTGAGATAAAAAAAAAAACTCCATTCTATCATTTATTACCTCATATTAAATCACGTGTATTGCAGAGATTGTAGACTCTGCTGCAACACTGGAATTTCTCCCTTGAGCGACAAATACTGTACATCTGATCTTGATTACAGAGAAGTTTATAAAGGAATGGCTTTGGGGATGTCAAGTATGAGAGGAAGCAGCCAGGTGTTCTGCGGAAGTTACCGGTGAATCCCTTTGTTGCAACATAGATCTGTCTCTGCACGGTTCTGACTCAGACCTAAAATTCCAAGGAACTGCGAAGGCCACGATAACAAGCCTTTTGGCACCAACGTGTTTCACTGACCTGCCTTCCTCCGGGTGAATGAGTACGTCTGATCTCGACTTGATGAAGATGATTTATTCTGAGACTTTCTGGTAACACATTGGAACATTGGAGGGGTTATGTGTGTATTTTTTATGTTTTTTCTATTTTTTTTTTCTTGTATTTTTGTTTTGTTTGCATCTGTTTTGCTGTATCTGTCACTTTGTGAAATCTCGAGGACCCCCTCAAAAATGAGATGGTTCATCTCAAGGGGCTTATCCTCTAAATAAATAAATAAATAAAACATGTCCTGTCTTAAAATATGTAGTGAAAAACTTAAAAGAGTCTAATTTAACTTGACTGATTGACGTGTGTGTGTGTGTGTGTGTGTGTATGTTGTATGTGTGTGTCTATGTACTGCATGTATGTATGTATTAATGTGTGTATGTTTTACAGTATGCATGTATGAATGTATGTATGTATTTATTTATTTATTTAGAGGATAACTATCTGAATTTGTTTTTCGACGGTCACTATGACAACAATGTCATATCATTCTATGTTTATTAAGGTTCTCTTATTCCGTCAACCTCTAGATTAGCTCTAAACCAGTGGTCCCCAAAGAAGCTTTGCCCTTTAAAAAAAATGCTCTCACATGATTTGTCCAGGCTGAGCTGATACTAAAGCGTTCTAACTGACAGTGATTGGCCAAAGTGGTGCTGGATGCCATGGTTGTAAAAACATTACCACAGATACTGGTTTGTTGTGGGTCGGTTGCTAGGACAACGTACCAGATACTACAGTGTAATAGAAATGCAACGCCGCGCAAAGAGTAGTGTGGAGTAGAGTTGGGCCAAGTAGGGCGGCTTTTGTTGTTGATAAACTGTGAATATTATTGACATTAAACCTACAGGGGGCAGAGTGTGTGTGTGTATGTGTTACGTGTATGTGTATGTGTGTGCGTGTGTGCGTGTGGAATTTAAGACTTATAAATGTTGATTACAAGTTTGTAATTAAAGTGAAGGTGGATACGTTACAGAAGGGAGTGATTTTCCTTATTAACTTGTAGAATGCTGTTTACAAGGTCATAAATCAGTCTGATTAGATCCACATGAGCCTCGGAATCACTATGTCTCAGATTTCATTGATGGTGGAGACACTATAAAGGCTCACAACAATTGTAAAGCCCTTTTTTTGACTGGTCTGTGAAAGGTGCTATATTCAGATTCAGATTCACATTTAATTTATTCAGACACTTTTACATTTATTACATGAAAATAGAGATAAAGAATACTTACTAAGGCCTCGTTTAGACAGACGCTGCAGAGACGTTGCAAAGCAATTGTCAAAAAAGTGC